GATTGCCACCACTTGTGTGCATATTATAACTTCTTCCACCTCAGGCATGAAGGTGTTATGAATGAAGACCCTCAACATGCAGGTGCCAATAGCCGGCCTCGAAATAGCACCTGTATGTTTAACTGTGACTATTAATACACTCTGCTCCATTGGATTTCAGTGAACCTCCTCTCCTCGACACTCTCACAGTTCCCAAACATGAGCCACGGTCTATTTTTAGCCACTTTCAGGATGATCTCTCATGGGATAAGATTTGTACACTTCTGGTCGGTCGAAGAGAAAAACCACTTAGCCAGAACTGATGGCTCCATTAGATAATACAGTTGGATGCTATCCTATATCTCATATAGACTGTGGAATTTTGAAACATACACAAGTTAAAAGTCGGAGGCCATTGGCTATTGTAGTAAAATAGAGAAAGAGTATTTGAGAAGTTACCAGAGATGTGGTAAGTTATGCACAAAACCCCCAAAACAAATAAAAACTACAGAATACAAAGTCTATGTTGTGTTAATGCAGGCGTACTTTCATGATAAAGAAAGTGTTATTGCTTTGCCTGGATTGTTCTGCAGTATAACATTATCTTTCCTGTGCTTATATCCTGAGCGAGGATCACCTCTTCTCAGATCTGACCTATAACTTGGCTTGATGTCCCCTCTGCTTGTCTCCTTGGCCATAATGTCAAACCATAATGCACAAAAACATCTTAATGAAGACACGCGATGGACTAGTTTTGTTCAACTTGTTTTTAGACTTAAAGATATAATTATAGTGGTGTCATGATATCCAAGTGTCACGCTACGATATCATCATGGTATGAACCTCATGGTACGATATTTATTGCGACATCGCGGGAGAGCTCACGATATGGTGGGGAGGCTCATGATTAGGGATGTAACAATATCCAAATCTCTCGGTATGATATTTTCGCAATATATATCTCACTGTACAATATTTATTGCGATATTTTGTGGAGGCTAACACAACTGTTAATATGCTACTGTTTCCTCTTAAAATGCCTTGACAAGACTTAATCCAAAGAATTAAGACTTAAAAGTGCTTAGAACTGTTATTTCTTCTTGTAGTCTGCACTGAAATGGAGCAAAGGATCATGGTCCATGTAATTCTCTCTGTCTTGATTTTTAGCTACTGCTGCACTATAACATTTAATTTAAGCAAAGAGACTTGTAATTTGATATATTGTGATGGTCCAGGGTACTGGAGAGGAGAATCCGGCCGATAGTCGAACCTCGGATTCAGGAGGAGCAGTGTGGTTTTCGTCCTGGCCGTGGAACACTGGACCAGCTCTACACTCTCCATAGGGTGCTCGAGGGTTCATGGGAGTTTGCCCAACCAGTCCACATGTGTTTTGTGGATCTGGAGAAGGCATTCGACCGTGTCCCTCGTGGTGTCCTGTGGGGGGGTGCTCTGGGAGTATGGGGTCCGGGGCCCTTTGCTAAGGGCTGTCCGGTCCCTGTATGACCGGAGCAGGAGCTGTGTTCGCATTGCCGGCAGTAAGTCAGACCTGTTCCCGGTGCATGTTGGACTCCGCCAGGGCTGCCCTTTGTCACCGGTTCTGTTCATTGTATTTATGGACAGAATTTCTAGGTCAGTCAGGGGCCGGAGGGGGTCCGGTTTGGGGACCACAGGATTTCATCTCTGCTGTTTGCGGACGATGTTGTCCTGTTGGCTTCATCGAGCCAGGACCTGCAGTGTGCACTGGGGCGGTTTGCAGCCGAGTGTGAAGCGGCTGGGATGAAGATCAGGTCTTCCAAGTCCGAGGCCATGGTTCTCGACCGGAAAAAGGTGGCTTGCCCTCTCCGGGTGGGTGGGGAGTCTTTGCCTCAAGTGGAGGAGTTCAAGTATCTCGGGGTCTTGTTCACGAGTGAGGGAAGGACGGAACGGGAGATTGACAGGCGGATCGGTGCAGCTTCGGCAGTGATGCGGTCGCTGTATCGGACCGTTGTGGTGAAGAGGGAGCTGAGTCGAAAGGCGAAGCTCTCGATTTACCGGTCAGTCTTCGTTCCTACTCTCACCTATGGTCATGAGCTCTGGGTAGTGAGCGAAAGGACGAGATCGCGGATACAAGCGCTCGAAATGAGTTTCCTCCGCAGGGTGGCTGGGCGCTCCCTTAGAGATAGGGTGAGGAGCTCAGTCACACGGGAGGAGCTCGGAGTAGAGCCGCTGCTCCTCCACGTCGAGAGGAGCCAGTTGAGGTGGCTCGGGCATCTGTTCCGGATGCCTCCTGGGCGCCTCCCTCGGGAGGTGTTCCGGGCATGTCCCACCGGGAGGAGGCCACGGGGAAGACCCAGGACACGCTGGAGGGACTATGTCTCTCGGCTGGCCTGGGAACGCCTCGGGGTCCCCCCAGAGGAGCTGGAGGACGTGTCTGGGGTGAAGGAAGTCTGGGAGTCCCTGCTTAGGCTGCTCCCCCCGCGACCCGGCCCCGGATAAGCGGACGAAAATGGATGGATGGATGGATGTGATAGTCCACGATATTATTGTGAGAACTTTGACGATACAATATCACAATATTTCAGTTATTGTTACATCCCTATATAATATTATGGGTAGCCACCATCTTTTTCATAATGGTAAACACTGCCGATATTTATTGCAGTAAAATTAGCCTAATAATCATGTCACTTGTAATTTGCTGAAGAATGAATGTTAAGTTTGTGTATGCAGAGTTAATGGCCTGGGAATGACTAGCCTGAGTGACAAATTATATTAGTGACGCAAATGAGACTGTGATAAACCGAGAATTATGGATAGTGTGCAAAAACAGTGCAAAAAGATGCTAATGTAATTCTGAATGTCATGAGAGTACATTTGGTGTTTGGCAGTTTAAATGTTGTGTATATCTTTCTCATCTCTATCTTCTCTATCATCAAAACATATGGTTCAATTCATCATCATTATCTCCATACTGTCAACTCCGTGCAGATAAAGTATTCACCTCAGTCGTTCTGTTGCTGTGGCAGTTTCAAATATAGCGTTAGCATCATGACAAAGCATCAACACCTGCGCTCATGATCCAAGTACGTCAGCGCGTGATAATAAATACTGCGAGTCCTGCTCCCAGTGCAATCAGCTGTTTCACACCAGAGCAGAGGCGTGTTGACGAGGCGAGAGCTGTGGACTAAATATCATTACTCATGTGCACAATCAGTGTCGTGCAGACCGATCAGGCAGAAATCCTTCATTACAACAGTGTGAATGTCACTAATTATAAGGACATAGTCTGGTAATTAATTAGATACTAGAATGGTTTTAGGGTTCATCCACATCACAATAACAGAGTAGCAGGTTCAGAACATCACACAGTCGCGTATTGTTTTTGTGTTGGTGGGCAAGACACACTTCAATCAGAGTTTGAACAGAATACATCAGTGAGATACAAGTATTAAAATCAACAAAAGGTTAAGGTATAATTAAATAATCCCTCATGAAGCAAATTCTCTGCATTTGGCCCATCTCTCAATCCTGCTGTGGGGATTTGAAAGTTGTGACTTGGATTCAAGTCAGACTTGAGTCACTATTTTTAGGACTTGAGACTTGACTTGATGAAATGGATTAAGACTTGGGACTAGACTCGGACTTGAAGGTCACTGATTTAGGACTTTACTTGGACTTGAGCCGTGTGACTTGAGAAGACAAACGCTGATGCTTGATGCTTTTCTAAAAAAAATATATATTTTTTTAGAAAATACTTTTGTCTTTACACTTGATAAATGCGGTGCGTGATTTTACAGGAATAAACTGGAACATGTCCCATCCAGTTCTCTGTTTGTTACTTTGGATGTAACTGAAGTACTGTGATGTAGTATCCTCAAATGTATTACAGTATTTACAGTACAATACAGTAAAACAGAGGGAACTACATAGAACATGATCCTTCCATTTCAGTGCAGACTACGTGACAAAAATAATTGTTATTTAGCACTTTTAAATCTGAATTCTTTCTGTTCTGACTGTAATGATTCACACTGAGATCTTGACAGGACATTTAAAAAGGAAAGCTTAAAATTCATATAAATTGCAAAAAATCTAAGCTACATTTGGTACTTTGGTTTAAAGACTTAAAATGACTTGAAGCTCAAAGCAGACGACTTGGACTTGACTTGGACTTGGAATTTGCGGAGTTGCTTTATTAAGATGATATCACTGTCTCCACATTAGAGAGCTCATCATTATAGTCACAAAACCTATCCTGCCAAGTCTGTCCTCCTGCATGGCACACTTTTACAGCCTGTAAAACTTCACTGTGCAAGAAGGGGCAAAAATAACTGTCTGGTGAAACTTTAACTCTTATTTGGATTGCTAAATTTAGAGCTTAGTGCCAGCCATGGTAACAGATCCTCAGCACACATGTGTTAGTAGAAATATACCATGACTTGTATGTGACATGCGTTTCATGTAGTTATTTAGTCCAAGGGTGACAACTATTGTGTTCGGACTTTATTTTATTTTGCTATTAGTTAGTGGTTGTTGAGGGGAGAGTAAATCTTGTGATAAAACAGAAAAAGCATATGTCTAGATAACTCTGGAAAGCTTTCATAAATCTTTCTGGGACTGAATTTTTTGTTGCAGTACCTCAAATGTCCACTGAAAATTGCAGCAGTGTTTTATATGCTGTTCTGAAAAAAATAATAACTTTCAAGCAGCGTTTGCAGAGTGTAGACTAAAATGTGCAAGTAATTCAGTCTAGGTGGTCTTAAGCCGCAACAAAATCCAGGCTCACATTTTGACCAACCTAAACCCAGAACTTACTTTTGGTTTTAATTAACAATATTTACAAAGTCTTCCATGTGATGAATGATAACCTAAACATCTAACATCCAATGAATTCTATTGCAAAACCAAAACAATGCCAAATCTGCAGCAAAGACAGAAGAAGTTGACACCCTGTCCGGCCTCTACCTCCCCACATCCATCTTAACTTGGGGATGTGTTCCCTGAGCTGCTGCAAATTACAGAGATGGGTGTTGGACATAAAACATCTGGCCCACAAGAGGATTATTTAAAGTCAGGCAGCTGTGAGCCACTTCTTGCACTCCGTTGCATCTCTTGAACCATGCTTATCCCGCTCCTCGTCCTATTTGCACTGATGCTGGGGTCAGTTGCACCCCAGTACCACAATGACCACTACGACATGGGATGGGTAAACGCATATCGGCAAGGTTTTAACTTCCAATGCCCACATGGAGAGGTTCTGGTGGCCATCCGGAGTTATTTCAGTGAAAAGGACGGGTCAGATCGGCTGTGGAGCTTTGAATGTCAGCCCACTCCAGAGGGTCTGGGGCAGCCCACAGACTGCTGGTGGGACGATATCAACCGTGCCGGGCTAGAGTGGTGAGTGCTACATTTTCAATCAGGTTTTAGACATGCGAGACAACCCCCCAAAGCACACGGGACAGCTGAGGGAAGTAGATGAGTATTCACATCAGAACAAATGATTTTTAGGTAATAACGGTGAATGGTATTTGTGCTCCCTCATTTCCTCCTAGAATAATAATACTTGTTTTGGTGTGGTTTCGTTACATAAGTAAAACCTTACAAATCCTACTACAAAATACAACTGTTTATTGATAAATCAAAGTTTAATGCTTATCTATCTCTATTCTAGACAATGTAAATGCTGTGTCAGCTTTCTGCAGATCATTCCAGACAAGTTAAATGAAAAAGAAATACAGATACTAAAAGTGCAATATACCAAATGTTTTTTTCAATTGCAATGATTTCCATGAATAATTAATACTCCCTACAAACATTATATTCACACATGCAGGAGATGATCTGTGTGAGTCATGGCTAGGTCTGTGTCCCATGTGATCTGTGCTTCTGAGCATGATCCGTAAATAAGAATGAGTACATAAATAAACAGCTGAAGTCCGGAGCCTCTCCCGTGGCGCAAAGATGTCCACCACATGTAGAGAGTCACTGATGGTTCCAGTCTTCTGTAGAATGCTATGCCCCAGTCTCATTCTGACTTTTATAGTGCCAGTAAACAACACAGAGCTTCATTAACTTTGAATAGACCAAGTTTCCAGTAAGCAATGTGTGGTTTATACCAGAAGTACACATGCAAAACTTTAGCAAATTGACAGAGCCAGGAACTGATCTTACAACACCCGTTTACTGTGACCTGTAATTGCATTGGCCCAAATATACAAAAAGGGAAAGGATTTGCACCTGGTCCCAGATCCCCCAACAATTAAACAGAAAGTAGGAGGGGTTGGCTTGCCAGGCAAAAACAAATCTGTAGGTTATTGATAGAGCATCAAAATGTTAATATGTTTTAGTTTTGATTTAGTGCCTATTTGCTTTTGAAAGCCTGAAAGTGCAACTTATTTTTCTGTATGTACAGTATACACTGTAAACTGAAAAAATCCTAATTCATTTTCATTCTTATAACAAGTGGTTTTATTGCCAGTTCTTCATGCTAACCCCAGCCATGCTACCCTTTCAATCACACAAAAGACTATAACAGCATGTACAATGGTGGCTGCCTTCTCCCTATACAGGAGAGTCCTTTAGGTCCTGGGCTCTCTTTGTCCAACAACACAAATGTTAAAGGTCGGTATTAGCAGAAAACATAAGCCCAGGCAGGTGCTATTGTCACCAACAGCTGAAGATCTAGTGTGAAGGTGACATCTGCAAACTTAGCTAGGACACAGTTAAATAAAGATATTTAAAAGCCACAACTGGATAACAAATTTCATTTTAATTTGGCTTGTGTTCCTCACCCAAAAATATCCATCATTGGCCATTCGTGGAACATAGTTCATCTCCTTGATTACTGGCAATAAATAGAGGATTAGTTTTCCAACTCAATCTTAAATAACCTTGAGTAATCAACCACATCATCTCAAATTACTGATTAGGATTAACCCAGTCCAAAGGCCACCCAAGATTCGGGTTTGGTTTTAGATAACTGTTCCAAAAAATTGAACAGAATTATTTCCAGATTTTCAAAGTTTCCTCAATTACATTAGAAAATGATTTTGCAGTTTGCTCATTCAAAGGAACAAGGCCTGACATTTTTCGTGGGTAGGACTTATCAACACAGCCTCTTTCAGCATCAGTATCTGTTTATTGAGGTCAGCTTGGTGGTTTCAGCAAGGGTGTAACAAGTAATTTGAAGACTTTTTTTTCTCCACAAGAAACCATCTGCATTGTTGAGTGTTGAGGCTGACAAAACTAAATGTTGATTTTTCAACTTTTTTTTTTTTTTTCTAAAGAATACACTAGTTTTACATACATCTAGACTGATGTCAATATTGAAATATGATGTCAATAACTTATGGAAAAAGTCTGGTCCAAGTGAAACAATGAATGCAAATGTTTAGGAACTATTAAAAGATTTCTTCTAAATGATCTAACATTCAGCTACTGCAAAATGAATTTCAAGAACCATTAAGTCAAAGCTGACATATCACATCTTATATACTTTGTAACTCACCATTCGCTCACAATAGAAATTTGAAAGGTAAAGTATGTGTTTCAGCCTCCACCCTGTGCCTGTGTAATCATTTTATTTAGCTGCGTTCTTCATGGTCAGACACATAAACAGTTTAGGCTAACCACCTCTGTCAGCGCCATAGAAAGGTTGATCTAATTAAAGGCCTGCATCACCGATAAGAAAAGCTTACTGAAGGAGACTGTAGCTCTCTGCCCATTGTAAACACCAGTATCTATCATAAAGAACCACAAATGGCTGAGTGGCTCGTATTTGATCCACAATATTGTTATTATTGTGTAAGGCAGAGGTTTTCAAACACAGGACTGGTACAATACCAGACTACTGTTGCTCTGGTGGCACGAAGGGCTGCTGTTCTGCTTTGATTTGAACTAAAATAATTTGTTTAATTTAAATAATTCTATGTTTCTCTGTCCTACATCTGCTTAGTTCTGCTTTTCTGACCACTTCAGTGGCTCTGTGCAACCTGTCAAGAGTATTCACTGTAGAGCCCAGGGACCCATCTCCAGGTCTTGAGGCAGAGTCCCACTTAAAAGCGAGAAACATGCAAAACTACATCTGTGTTGTGGGGACAAATCATTGTATGGGCCCTAAACACATCATCTGTCACCATAACACTGCTCTCACCGGAAAAACATACATGTTTAAAGCACTGTGTACTGACCGATGCATTATCAAAGACTTCCATGGCGCTATCATGGAGAATTTTGATGACATGAGTCTTGTCTGTCTCTTACAGGACGTCCACCTGCTCTCGTAATGGTCTGGTCGCTGGAGTCCAAAGCAAATACTTTGAGTCTGTCCTGGACAGAGAGTGGCAGTTCTACTGCTGCTACTATGAACGCCGCTGCCCCTACTCCTGCATGTACGCACTGCACACACACTCTTATTATTATAGCTAAATGATGTTATACACACTAGATTCATATGCTGAAAACAGGAAAACCACAGATGTCCCGGAGTTCTACAGGGAGGAGGGTGAGATGGTGGTGCCCAGCTATGGATACTTCATCAGAGGAGCTCAGACCACCTTCAGTGGAGTGCTCAGGTATGTGTGTGTGTGCACGTATGCGTGTCTGAAGAGTGAAATATCATTGACTTTACTCCTGTTGTGTTTCAGGGACCGACAGTGGAAGTACATCCTCTGCAGGATGACAGATTTTAACTGTGACTATGAGAATTTATAAGCTGCACTTTATGTATAATAATACCCATTATATTCTACTTTGTATGTACTTTTTACCTGTCAAAATATTCAGCATTTTTTAACCTGTATCATGTTAACTCACAGTATTTTCACAACGAAAGGATGCTGGAGGTAGCTGTCCTCACCACACACAAATGTTATTTTTTCATTTACTTTGGTAGGGCTTAATTCCTTGGTCTTGTTGATTATAGCTTTCCAAAGCAAACACCAGTGGAGCCTCTCACACAATCTGGATTTATGCTAAAGATCACCTGGATCCAGCAGAGCTCTGCAGTGTGTGCAGAACATACTTTAATATCATCCTCTCTTTGCATTCTAGTCATGTAGCTTCAAGTGTGGTCATGGGCATAACATTGTAGTAAACATCCACCACCTCACATATGGATGGAAGCTCTGAATAAAGTGTAAAAACATTTGACCTTTTGAACTGTCTTACAAACTACTAGATTATGGTCCCAGGGAGTAATCTGCACTAAACACAGTCAGAATGAACTCCATACTTCATACCAGCAGCTTCTAAAGGACTAAACTCGCCTGAGGATAAAACTCTCTTTTGCCCAAACAGAGCTGCAAGTGTTTGACATCTGCGTCGGCCATATTGGATCATCTGTTTTGTGTCCACATGAAAATCTGTCTAAACACACGCAAACGTGTTACAGTCCAAGCCTCAAAGCTCAGTAATAAAATGTGGGTTAAATTCAATGGTCACATGACAAGTATAGTATTATTAGACCATAGAAAAAACAGTCATAATGTTAAATGGACATGGGCTATTTACTCTGTGTATAAACATCTATAAACCAGAGGAATGTAGGTCATTGGTATAAAATAACATTACAAAAAAGTTAAGTTAAAAATACCTTGATAAATACCTGCCTGTCTCCATAAAGACTGATAACGTTTAATGCCATACTGTGAAACATTCCAGGAAGAGCATTGGAGCAGGTGTACCCCAGTGGCAGCTGGTCTGTAATGGACAATGGATGCCGCCCTCCCTAGCAATCATGCACATTTGTAAAACAATTTAACATTAAAATTTTAGATAGATCTGCAATATATTATTCTATAAATGTTACATAAATGTTCACTATAAATAGCATAAATCACAAGAAAAATATATCTTAATTACTTTCATAATTTTCTGAGATTCAAAGTAAGCAACTGAGCTGCTTCGGGCCATAAACTGTATATATAAACTTTTTTATATAGTAGACTTAGACTTAGGCCATATACTTTTTTATACAGTTTGTGCTTGGTGCGCTCTGGAAAAAGAGAGAAATCTGACCAGTAAGCTCCTCGCATCTGGGTGTCCTATGCATTTGAGCAGTGTGCGTGAGGGTGATCAACCCGGGTACATCCCATAACCAGAGATCCATGCCCATAACCCAAACCCGACTATGCCCGAAGGTCTCAGTGAACATGTTTTTACAGAGCAGCAGCAGCAGCTCACTCTGTAAACACCTGTGGAGTGTCCCATAAACCCCGCGGTCTCACCACAAAGACAAACTCCACAGGACACAGGAACAGCCTCACATTACATCTGACACCAGGTGAAAGGAAAATGTGCACAAGAAGAGGTGTGACTGAGTACAAGTAAGGGTTTGATGAGGTTTAGTATTGCTGCTGTAGCATCGCTTACAAGAGTATCTGATTCCTGCTTATTAAACACGCCAGCACAATCTGCACTGGCTTAAAAATGAACTGGGACATAAATTTATGGCAGAGGAAATAAGGATTACACGCACACAGATGCTGCAGAGACTCCCATTCATTCATTGCAACAACCGCAAAACTCCAGACGAACAATCCAGGCAGTAAATCAGCAAAACGTAAGTTACCAAGCTATTTATTGGTAAATACAGCTGTGCTATACATTGTTGGAAACTTAGAGTGTGATTTTCTCCAGTATAGACGCTGAGTTCATATTACGCGATGCTTGAGTGAATCTTAAAGTAAACAAACCGAAAACATGCACGTCTCTCTGGCCCGGTTGTTGGTCCAAAACGGGCTCATTCAGTCTTTATGAGTCAAAATAATAGTATATCCAAAAGTATGTTCCAAATGTATTGATACTAATCTGTTCCCTGTTATGCAAATAAACTTAGTCACCATAAAGTCTACTGCAAAATGTGTGACAAACACTGTGGGCCTTCAGATTCCTTTCAGTCTTCCCGCAGTCAGCATTTTTTGTTACAATAATATCTTACTAGTTAATATTAGTAGTTGCCTGAAAAATGTCTTTTTGTTATTATTATATTTATTTAAAAAAAAGAAGCTGTCACTGGTGAACCCTCTACCCAGAAAAGTGAGTTAGTAGTGAGGTAGTGCTTTAAAAACACTCTTCAGCAAACCTCAGCAGACTCATCTCCACTGAAGCAGCAGAACCATCCGTCACCTCAGCCTCTCTGCTTCCTCCTCTTCACTAAGAACAAATATTCACCAACTTAACAAATAATCCTTTACAATCGCCTGTGTCCTGGTGCCCTTTAAGTCTCTCTCCTGGTTAAATTTACAGCAGTTTAGAGTCTCTGCCAACTCCTAAACCTCACTGAACAAGCAGGCATTGAATGAACTTTCCACTGACTAATTTGCCTTTTCTGCTGGATCAAACAGGTGCTTTCACGGCCCGGATACTTGGAAAAACTGACTGTGTTGCCTCATTCTTCTTTTCTGCGTCGCTCCGCTCTGCAAAGGCCTGTTTAACTCCATAGGGGCTTAATGGAGTGAAGGGGTCGAAATGGCACAGCAGTGAATAGGCTGGGGACCAGGCCAGTAGCTCTTTCTGTGTGCTATTTGTTTTTGGCGACTGCTGTTTTAGGGAAAAGAGCCAAACACCACATAGTCACACAGCTGTCTCTCTCGTCCCGCCACACGACTCTGGTCTCTGGGGTTTAAAAGAGCTACCCAAGTGGATACTGTGTGCAGAGAGAAGTCAAAATATGATCAAATAGTAGTTTTAAAGGTGTACGATGTTACTTTTTGGTTGGGGGTCTGTCACGTTTTTTTTTTTTTCTGTGGATATATCATTGCTCTGCCTGCTGTAGCTACAGCAGGGATCTCCAACCTAGCTCTCCAAGCAGCTCGCCAAGAGATTTCTGAATTATATGCATTGTGTTGAGTAATAATGGCTATTACTATTTCTAAATGTATTGTTTTGATGCCTAACTTTGTGTGTATCTAACAGTACCCCAAGACCCAGACTCTTTATATACTCAATTTCTTGTGACTGCTAAAATGAGTAGCTCTTTGGTGTTTTTGTTGGAGGTTGGAGGCCCTGTAGTGTGACAATAAACCATTATACCTTACATTTTTTAAACGGTTGTACCTTACATTTATTAAACGGTTATACCTTACATTTATTAAACTGTTATACTTTACATTAATTAAACCGTTATACCTTACATTTTTTAAACCATTATACCTTACATTTATTAAACCGTTATACCTTAGATTAAACCATTATACCTTACATTTATTAAACCATTATATCTTACATTTATAAATTATAAGTCATTTTATTGCTCCAAAAAAGAACATAACAATCATTCTGACTGTGAGTGGGGTTGCCTCTTCACAGATCTGGTTTAGTTTGGTTTAGTTTGGTCTCCATGATGATAGAAAGTTTAATACTATACTATGAAACATTCCAGACAAAGCATCTCCACGGAGACAAGCATTTGACAGACCCTCCACCACAAAAGTTACACAATGCACCTTTAACATTTGAGCATTCCAGTGTAAAGCTTTTGACAGCAGCTGTGTTGATCAGATTTCTGGAGTTATTAGATTATTCAAATGCCATGTAAAAGTTATCTGATGTTAGCTGATGAGTAATCTGATTTCTGTAGTTATCTTCCAAATACAAGTTATTCTCGTCTAAAAGTCCACTGATTAAAAGACCCACATTGTGCTAGTTTCTGATCTATGTTACAATGTCGTCATCACAAGCATATCCGAAGTTGTGTTTTGTTTCATTCACACATGTTTAACTCACAAATCTAGCATAGTTAGCATTTTGTTCTTCTCTCAAATAGAAAACAGTCTAATAATACAGCCAGGAAGGGCACCGCTGTTTTTTTTTTTTTTTTAACTCCTTACACCCTCACTAGAATAATTTGGATAATTTCTGCTCTGGAAGTGCCAAATCTACTCTAGCTCTATGTTTGTGATGAGATAATTACATTATAACATAGATTTGAATATACTGTAATATGGGCCCTGTAAAAGTTCAGTGGCTTTTGCAGTTGAAATGAGGTTCAACTTTTGGCTTTTCCTTGTGGATATATTAAAAAAGAAGAAAAAACACCACATCTGATGGTCGTCATCATCACCAGCAATAACAATACATAATTCTGAAAATTACTCAAATAAAAATATCTCTTTATTTTTTATTGTGGTGTTGGTGCATGCTCCTCCTCCCACACCATTTCATCTGAGCTTGGGTTAGATCATAACTGGCCACTACAGAACAATCTCAGAGCACATGTAGAAAGCCCGAGGAGAACCACAGTACTGTCCTCAATCACAAACACATGAATGAAGATAATTTGAGAGAAAACATAATGATAAGGAGATTTGCGGGTCTTATAAGGATAAATGAGCAGGGGCCTTGAGGGAGGAGGTGTGTATGTGCACGTTTTTTCCAGTTTGTTCAAATATGATGCTATTTCCAAACAGACATTACTCCAACAAATTCAAATATTTAGTTGCCAAACATTTTGAACCCAACAAGTGAGTGCAATTCAAGCTCCGTCTGTAGTGATGAGTGGATTGTGTTCATGACGTTTTTGGTGTCATAATTTCAGATATAGGGCAGGTCTGTCTTACTCTATGAGCACTTCACTATTTTTGAAGGAAATGACTAAACCGAAAACATATGTTGTTGTTTTCACATGTTTTTCTTACTGATGTCAGCGTTCAAAATCACACCTTGTGAATGAATAAAGCCACATTTTAAAGAGCCAATATTAAACTGTTTTCTGTTATAATGTTTCCTCATCATAAACATACCTTGTGTTGTGTTTTGTTTCATTCACAAACCCCACCCAAACCCCTTTCTTCTCTCAAACTGAAAAACTCTCTTCCACCTTGTGATGTCATGTGGTAATACAGGAAGTGCTCCACTGTTTTTTAAAACTCTATACACCTTTACTAGAATCATTTGGATAAATTATTCCGTGGAATTGCCAATCTCTACTGAACTAACGGTAAAACAGAGCGAATTGAGCTTTAGAGATAAAAAAAAAAAAGATGTATGACAAAGTAAAAGAGAATGTAGACAGACTAATTACTTAAGACTATTAATTACTTAATAGGATTACTCATACTTGTGTGAATGAAACAAATCACAATTCTAGGTATTATTATAACATGTCTTAAAGCTCACAATAGTTAAGATTTTTAAAGCTATGTGAAAAA